TAATGTATGGCACAATCTGTTGTCGCTTTCCCCGCAGTTGCAAAGATAAAAAAAAATGGTTTGAAGCAAAACGTATAAGGAATATACAAGTCATAAGACCGATCATTCTAGTCATCTTTCCTCGTCACGCGTAGTTTGGCCTTGCTCGCATCTGACGCAACAGGGGAGTTGTTTGTCGTCACGATCATGTGTACGTACAATCCAATCATGGAAAGGCACGGAAAGAACGTCTTCATGATAATATTGAGTACTGTTTGGGACGTGCAGAGGATAGAGCCTGAGAAAATGAATTTGACTGTACATATGTCATGGGAGGATGAATTTGGTTCATAGACCGAATCAAGTATGCCTTCTCCAGTCAGAAGGAATGACCAGATCCAGCAGAAAATGAGGTACCCAGTGAGTCTCTTTCCCTTGATTATGATGCCATATTTAGAAGGCTTTACAACAGCAACCCACCGCTCTATTGTTAACAGCAATGTGATGTAAACGGTGAAAATAGGAGCTGAAAGAGAAAACTCGACTCCAGAATACACGACAGAGGATCGTACCTAGAACTTCATTACTTGGACGACGAATAAGGTCACCAAGCTCAAATCCTGGGCTTGTGAGTCAGCACATCAGATACGGCAAGGCAAAGAATGAAAACGTTGTAGGACTTTTTTAGTAGGTTTTTGTCACAGACAAACACTTGAATGGTCAACGTGTTTCCAAGGATTCCAAAGATGGAAAGAATACAGTTGGTAATCTGGGATTTGGTTAGTCCGCCTTCCATTGCATCCTTTGATCAGTGGAAGGTAGTCGACGTCACTGTATCATGCAGCGAACTCGAAGCGAACTGTTCATATAAGAAATCTTACTCTTTGAGTCCTCGTAGTGATTTTAGGCGAAGTCAGTATGTCACTGATTAGTTGTTTCTATGTTGTTAGTCTCACACCATGACGAAACCAACTTTTAAAGTAACAGGTAAAATAATTCATATTGTAAATGCTAAAAAGATGAATTGTGTAGTTATCAAATACCTCCCCTCTCTTCTATTTATAATTTCGAAAAATCGTGAAAATATAATATAATGTATTTTGTCCAGATGTCAATAACTGACATCCTATACTATGTTATTATTTTTGTGTATGTGCAAGGTCAATTAATTCTCTGTACAGAGCTCTGAACTAAATCTAAAAAATATTCTTCGTCTTCAGGGGCAAAAAGGGTTATCGATATAAATCTAATCTTATCTTATTATATTAGCTCAGTTACTGATGTTTAGTCAGCCAACCGACATTAAATCGAAGTAGGTGTGCTTAGAGGGTGGCAAGCGAAATCAGGTTGGGTTCCGGTCTTAATTCTGATAACTGTGGAGGGTGGTGCCTTTTGGGAAACGTTTTTAGACCAGAAAATAATGTTTTTTCTCAAAGATATAATTGTAATCAACGATATAATCACTAAGTTAATTCTCCCATGATACATAAAGAGGTTGGGAGCATTGAATCAAGCATATGGTTATAAAAATTGATTTGAATCCAAGATAATGCTTTAAGTTATTTCGTATTCATGGATCGTCGTATAATGTATGTGGTGTTCTTGATCTCCATCGTTGACACAATTGTTTTCATTTAAAAGGAGAAAAACAGATCTACAAAACCAAAGCACTCATCGTGAAAAGAACTTTAAACATTACAGAAAAATTTACTTAATTCAATATCGATCAGGTCAATTTCCTCTTACAGCAAAGCAGGGATCAAAGGATGCTATTATGTAAATATTTTTACCTTTTCTGTTTTTGTGATCTCTTTTCGTATCGTAAGGATCACTTTGAAGCTGTTTTTAGTTTTTTTTGTAGTGCCTTTTCAATCTTTTGTGTTTTCTCTTTCCGACAGGCACCATCCTCCACTGCAATTTTATGTTAAACAATGTACAGCACTTGTTTAACGGAAGACGTACTCTAGTGTGTGAGTTTATTTGCGTGAGACTGATAGATATCTTTGCACTTGTTTCCCCTTTGGTAGATAAACTAGGACACACGAAATTCCTATACTAATTTATATCAATTCATCATGTGACTTCAACTTCAACTCTATTTATTAAAAATGGTTTTTATCATAGACTGGCCCGTAAAATAGCAATTGCTAATCTAGGCGGCCCAGTTAAAAGAAAAAAAAATACGTGAAGGCAAGGAAAATGTTTTAAGTTGCAGTAATTCTTATTTCTTTCATAGTTTTATTATTATTATTATTATTATTATTATTATTATTATTATTATTATTATTATTATTATTATTATTATTATTATTACAACTAAGGAAAACGAAAAAGAAATTGACGGAGAGTTTGAAAGCATATAATTTTATACAATATGACATTACTTAACTGTTTATCCAACTTTTTAAATTATCAATGGTGTCTCAATAAAGTCATTTTCTCTTTCCAAAGTTTTACTCCAAAACGAGAGAAGGACTTTTGTGTATTTCTAGCTTTGAACTTTTAACGTGAAAGTTACCAGAAGTAGATGATCGTGTATTGTATGAATGAATTGTTGAGGTTTTTTCAAATAAATTTCGGAGATTTGGTAGCGAATTGTTGTTGTTAATATCGTGTATTAGACTAGCTACAGACTAATAACACATAGACGTCACTGGTAATATATCAACGTCGATGAATAGTGGAATTGTGTGTTCACGTTTATCCATATAATGTATCATGCGAAGCACTTTCGCTTGGAGAATTACAATTTTGTTAAGGGAGGTCTTGGATGCCTGACCCCAGACAGCAAGACCTGAAAAGTAGACTTCCCAAGCAAGAGACCAAATATAAATCTGTACGTTGAATATTCGCGGAGTTAGGAGTAGTTTCAGCGAACATCTGCGAAGCATACGCAACAACACTCCCAGGTTTCCTGTGGCCCAGCATTTCAACTCCACTGGCCACAGTATCTCTGATGTCCAGGTGCGTTGTGTAGGGTTTTGCAATGGTAATATCATTTAACGAAAGCAACGTGAGAAGCGGTTAATTTTCCAACTAGGCATCGTTCAGGCGAAAGGACTGAATATCAATTTCACTTTTATTTGAATTGGGACATTATATTATCTTCTTGATGTGCGTGCTTGGATGAGAAAGGATATGTTGTGGTTAAATGATGAAATCATTATCATTGTTATTATTATTATCATCATCATCATCATCATCATCATCATCATCATCATCATCATCATCATCATCATCATTATTAGTATTATTATTATCATCTCTTCTATCGCAGTCTTTGCTGGTGTTCTTTTTGTGCATCAGCCGGGCGCAAATCGTGCACCTGGAGCATCAGTCACTTAAGTCAATCATTCTGTTCATACACTAAGCACCTTTCTGAGGATTCGCGCAGATCCCAGCATGCAGATCGATCTTTTAAATCTCTTTCACAGTAGCTCTCTCTGATACTTTCTTGATATCATCCCCTTCGTTACTGTACCAAGCGCACCCAAAACCACACAGGGATCAAAACGGTTGTCATTTGCCACATTCTCTGTATTTCTAGTTCTGGGTCTTTGTAATTGCTTTTCTTTTCGTTTTTCTTCAGTGCAATGTTTCTGTCTGATGCAACAGTCATATCAATCAGTTTGCAGGTGGAATTCACTGAATCTTTAACGATGATGCCTGTTCGCTGTTACCACCCGTCATCGATCTTGCCCCAGTTGTTCAAAACCTAGATAGCGCTATCCACCGGATAAATCACTAGCCAGTGGATAAATATTGGGGGAGCCAATTGCGCTATCCAGTGGATAGAGATTGATCCGGTGGATAGCGCTATACACCTTTTTGAACAACTGGAGCCAGGTCACACATACGGAGGAAAAGAACTGGACCCACTTTCTACACCCGGAATAATTTGTTTATCAAAGCAACTGACGTCACAATTATGAGAAATACCAGGGAGACATCGCTTAATCTTTCTCGGTAGGGTGACAAGATTTTAGAGGTAGTTATTAAACAGTGGTGTCCGCCATCACCCATGCCCTGGTTGTTCGAGCATTGGGTAGTGCTATCTAACGGATAAATTGCTTCCGACGGATAACTGCTAGAAAAGAATAACACATAATGTTATATCCTGTTATATGAACCTTCTANACACCCGGAATAATTTGTTTATCAAAGCAACTGACGTCACAATTATGAGAAATACCAGGGAGACATCGCTTAATCTTTCTCGGTAGGGTGACAAGATTTTAGAGGTAGTTATTAAACAGTGGTGTCCGCCATCACCCATGCCCTGGTTGTTCGAGCATTGGGTAGTGCTATCTAACGGATAAATTGCTTCCGACGGATAACTGCTAGAAAAGAATAACACATAATGTTATATCCTGTTATATGAACCTTCTAGTGAGACAATTGATTCTCACCAAGACTCCTATGTCCCCCTTGTGGCCAGATGTTTTTTGACATCAGTTTGTATCCTTAAGGAAAAGAAAACAACAAGTTCATTGACGTATTCACATATTCCTTACATTAAAGTTATTACAATGCCAATATTGATTCTCTACAGTATTAATATTATTCGATAAAGCAAGTGATTTTCAAGTCTGTAATTGTAATAACAGCTAATAACGAGAATACTCTATATACTACGTCACAACTTTCACCAGCAACAAGTGACGATATACTGTTTATATAAATCAGTTAGCTTTCTTTATCCATTTACATTATCGATGTATACGGCGGTGATATTTACAGTGTTTGCAATCTCCTTTGTTCGATTTACAGGGTATTTATAGAGTCAAATCGGTCCCCTATTTCAATTTAAAAGGTTTAAAGAGGCAAATAGATTTTCTTCTTCTCCTACAGGGTCAAACCAATCTCCCCTATTCAATTTACAATTTTATTACAGGGTCAAATTAGTTGCCCGATTTCGATTTGCTTAGTATTTACACGGTCAAGAAAGTCTCTCTCTCCTGTGATTCAATTGTTATTTGCATTATTCTGGTAATGTTTAATTGACTGCCTTAAATGCTTTTTACATATGATCTTGACCTCTTAGTCTTCATATATTGTGTTTTATGTTCTACTTTTGCTTTCCTTAACCATTCGCTGGCTTGGAATATACAAATTCTTTTAAATAACCAGCAATTAAGTTTGACTGTCAGTAATATTCTCTACGTTTATGGCAGGTGGTTCTGATCTGGTAGGTTCAACTCTCGCAGGGCTCAGAGCAGCATTGGCGTCCTCCGAGAACCGTTTGAAACATACGGAAAACAAAAGCACCTTGTAGCGCTGGCGATAATTAGAGTTGCTGATTCCATAAATGAATGGATTAACGCAGATGGTGGTGAAGAGGAGAAATGCTGTTAAATGGTGGAGTAGAGAATCTACCTGTTCTTTCCCCGCAACCACAAAGGTATAAAAAAATTGGTTTGGAGAGAAACATACGAGTAAAATAAAGGTCATAATACCGACCATTCTTGTCATCTTTCCTCGTAGTTTGGCCTTGCTCGCGGCTGATGCAACTGGGGAGTTATTCGTGGCCACGATCATATGTACGTAAAGTCCAATCATAGAAAGAGACGGAAAGAACATCTTGAAGAACATAATGAATACAGATTTGAATGTGCGGAAAAAAGAGCCTGACGAAATGAATCTGAATACGCAGATGTCATTGGAAGAAGAATTTGGTTCATAGTTCGCATCAAGCAATCCCGTCCCATTGAGAATGAACGACCAGATCCAGCAGATCATGATGTATCCAGCAAGTCGCTTTCCCTTGAAGGCCATGTGATATTTAGAAGGCTTTAAGACCGCAACCCACCGCTCTATTGTTAACAACAATGTGATGTATACGGAAAAAAACACGAGCTGAAAGATAAAGACTCGGCTCCAGAAAACTCGACAGAAGATCTCACCCAGAACTCTGTTGGTTGGACGAGGAATAAAGTCACCAAGCCCCATGACCGGGCTTGTGAGCAGGAGAATGGAGGTTAGCACATCTGCTATGGCAAGGCAAAGGATGAAAACGTTGTGGGACTTTTTCAACAGCTTTTTGTCACGGGCAAACACTAGAATGGTCAGCGTGTTTCCAAGGATTCCAAAGATGGAAAGGGTGCAGTTGGTAATCTGAGATGTGGTAAGTCTGCCTTCCATTGTCTACTTTGATCAGTGGAGTGTAGGTGACGTTATTGTGTCTGGTGAACAGACGATAAAAGAAATGTTACTGTAAGTCTCTGTATTGATGTTAGGATAAGTTAGCCTGAAAAAAAGCCAATGTTTCGTGTCTCCATCAATGGTATGCCCTCGAAATGACGTAATGACGATTTTCAGCGCAACAAGACGTTGTAACACTGTGTGACATTGTTTCGAATAGTATTAACATTGTTCCAATGTTGTGACGCTGTGTTGCGTTGAAAATCGTCGTTGCGAATCATCACCTTAAGGAAAGAGCGCAGAAATTCCATACGGACGTCATTGCGGCACGACCAATATTAGATCTGGACAGTGTTACGTCATCAGTATGGAATTTCTGTGCTCGTTGCTTAGACGACTTTTGCGGGAAATTCAGTTGAGGCGTCGAAAAAAACATATGCCCTGTTTTCGGTTAACAACGTGACGAAACTAACAAATAAAACACTCCGTAAATTAATTCATATTCTTGTTTTAAAAAAATGGATTATGATATATCTATTATCTCGAATTCAGTTTATAATATTTAATTGTGAAATTTGTAAAAATAATGTGATGTCTATTACGTCGTTGATTTCCTGTATTACATTCCATCAAGAAGTCTGTTTTGAACGGCTTGGAAACTAAAATTTGATAGCATTTTGTTTTGAATAACACCGCGGCAAAACGTCTACGCATGCGCCAGGTTGAGCATTTCCGGTCTCTTTTTTCAGTCACACTTTCCAGTCAAAGTCTCCCGCGCGCTTCATTCTGTGTGCAGCTTGTGGTTCAGTTGTTCTGCTTTATGCTGCTCGTGTTTTTGACTATTTTGTAGTTATTGAAATTGCTTTTATGGATAACCAGGCACAGATCACTGAAACAATTAGTCGATTAGATTCAGAAAAGGTAAGATGATAATAACTCAGTGTGTAATTTTGGCTAGAGCGTCAGGTAAACTGATTTTCATTCACGAAAATAAAGTTTTTGACTGTTATTTTTCACTTAACCTGGCTGAAACTAAGACATAAAATTAAAACGT